TTCAAAACTTCGTTCTAAGACAACTCTAAAATGTTACCTCGCTATGTTCGTATGTATGACTACACGAGCAGTTCACTTGGAATTAGTCTCGAGCCTTACTGCAGATGATTTTTTACAAACCTTACGAAGATTTATAGCTCGCAGGGGTAACCCCTCTGTGATATTCTCTGACAACGCAACTAACTTTCAAGGGGCAAACAATAAACTGAAAGAACTTTTCAACTTTTTCCATAATGAAAAGAATCAGGAAGCAATTAGAAACCATTTAGACAATACCGAAATTACATGGAAATTCATTCCGGCACGAAGCCCATACTGGGGAGGACTGTGGGAGGCTGCAATAAAATCTGCAAAACACCACATCCTTCGTGTTAAAGGTGAAACATTGTTGACGTACGAAGAATTTAATACCGTTCTAATTGAAATTGAGGCAATAATGAATTCACGCCCATTGTGCCCGTTAAGTAGTGACCCACACGACTTCTCATCCTTAACACCTGGCCACTTCCTAACTGGGGCTCCTCTGGTTTCTATCCCTGATAAAGATGTGACCGACGTTTCCGAAAATAGACTCAGTCGTTGGCAAAGATGCGCGCAAATCACTCAGAGTTTTTGGAAACGTTGGACCACAGAATATCTGCATCACTTACAAAGAAAGAACAAGTGGCCAACGCCACAGGAAAACTTAGAGGTGGGTGATCTTGTTTTGCTTGCAGATGACTCTTACCAAGCTCTTAAATGGCCTTTAGCCAGAATAGTGGAACTATTCCCTGGACATGACAATAAGGTAAGAGTTGTCAAGGTCTCAACAAAGGACGGTAGTTTTACCAGATCTGTGACAAAACTATGCCCCTTACCCAAGAACACAGATGAATTATTATTATAGTTGAAGCAATCGCTTCATCGGGGGAGTATGTTGCGGACACGCAACAATTTGCAACAATTTAAAAACAAATTTAAATCAATAAAATATTCTATATAATTCAGAAATAACAATTCGCTTAATGAAAAATATAATCTAACTTGCATTAATTTAATATGCTATTTTCTATTTTCAAATCTATCCAGTTTACATTCCTATACCTATACAAAATATATTTTATCCACCGTCAAGTCAGAACTTGCATTTCTTCTAAAAGGAATAAAGTTGAGATTCTGGGAAGGGGTTGCCTGCCCGCATAAAATAAAATCAATATTTAGTACCCTTAGAGCAGCGGCACCGTAGTGAGCGATATAGCATCACGAAAAATAAAAAAAGGCAACGCCCTTTCTTGTAACGACGAGCGCAGTTTAATTTGGTCAAATTCAAGTTTAATGATGTGAATTGTCTTCAAAAAACTCATCATACGCGTTCATAAAGTTTTTTTCCGCGCCAGGAAATTTATTATCAAGTACTTTCTTCCGCTTTCTCACAAGCGAACTTGTCTAAACAAGGGAATTAGGTACTCCCCTATATTGTGCCACTCAGTGAAACACCAACAATTCATAACGAATTTACATGTGTTGTACTGAGTAGTTTAAGAAATTGTTAGCAAGGGTTTTTCATTGCCGCTTTATATAATTTCAATTTAATAAAACAACATAATACGGAACAGTTGTCGAGACAGTTGTTGTGCTAGTGTCACCAAACAGTATTTGACTCAGTGAACTAAAAAGACTGCTAAAATCACTGACAGTGGTAGTTCTAGTACGGCCCTTTCTCCAGAATTGCGTGTCGCGGCCTATTCTCCATTTAACCTTAAATAAAGTTCAGGTTAACTTTATTATTATTCAACCTTAATGTTACCTTTTCGTTACTTACTTTAGAATATTACTACTCATTGTTTCCTTTTTTTTAGATATAAGATTGTGCGTATGAGAGAATGAATGATTGATTTAAAATTAGAGGTACAGCTTTCGTTTTTGTTTATTTTCATTAAATGCTTAAAACTAAATCCCAGGTTATTTATTTTTTATGCAAGAGCTTTCAGCCGGTAACTACGACAATACAGTCTATTAAAATCTACTTACAAAGTAGAAAAGTGGCCTTCGCCACGTATCAAGCAGAGGCTTGAGATTTCTGTACGGTTGTGAAGTGTAAAGTCCAATCGTACAGAAGCTAATGGGTGTTTGAAGTGCGGCACAAAGCACAATTCAATTTTGCATTTTGAAAGGTCTTCGGAGAGACCAGGAAATTCTGGTGAACACCTTAGTGTGAAAACTTACCAAGACAGATTGAAGACGAGCAGCGATATTGCATTGTCATCTTCGAAGTTAGATCCTAGTGTGCTGCTGTCCACAGGGTTGGTTAGAGCTCGCGAATCTTGTAGAGAATTTCATATTTCTCGTGTCATTTTGGACAGAGGTTCTGAATCATGTTAAATTACTGCGGATTTATGTCGTTAATTAAAAATTAGTCAAAGCAGATGATGTGACATCTCGATGTGATAAAGTAATTGCATCTTTGAACAATAATCACAGTATTGCCCTGATTTTGTCAGATATTTCGGGATTGGTCCCGAATGTTAAAATAATAGTTTCTCAAAATTTTCATGTCTCTCAAATTATCTTGTTGGCTAGCCCTGAGTATACCAAGCCTGGTAGGATAAATTTATTGACTGGTGCTGATCTTTTTTATCGTTTGCTGTCTATTGGGTAGATTTCTTCAGGAAATAATGGCCCTATCCTGCAAAAAACCCAGTTTTGTTGGGTTATTTATGGCTCTATTCAGGTTGAGGCTAATAATATGTCGACGAAACGTGTTTTATGTAATTTGAACTCCAAAAATGATTTAAAATTTGACTTGTCGTTCTGTGATTCAAAATGATCTGATTTCTTAATTGCTGTGATTTCGACAGTCTAGTTACGACTATTTATCATAGTACCGAGGCCTAGGAAGAAGTTGCTGCTCCCTTTTACAAAAAGGTGTCCGATACGCCTTAGAACGGCAGAATAGGCGCTTCAAATTATCTGTAGCAGCTGGGTGTCCTTCGTGGCTTAGTGTCAGTATTTTACCACGCAGGTCCGTTGGCATCTCAATCTTAGTGCCACGTAGAAATATGTTTTTCTGCGATTGACAAGAAATGTCAGCATTTTTGACCGGTTGCCAGGTCGCAAAACTCAATATTCTGGTTTTTAATTATGTTTCAATAGTTGCTAAGAAATCAATAAATAACAATACCGGAATCACTTTTCCGGCCTATGCCGGGAAAGTGATTCTCGTACTGCTGAACAATTGGAACAAAAAGACAAACATTTAACAGAAATTTAACCGATCGCAGAAAAATAGTATGTGTATTTTGGTGGAAAAGCACATTCTCGGCCTTCGGTGTTTGCCGGCCTCGGCTACGCCTCGCCCGTCAACCTTTACCGTCGGCCGAGAATGTGTCACTTTTCCACCTAAATACACAATATACTATTTTGTGAAAACAATATTCCGTTTTGAACGGTTTATAAGCTTGTATAGATTTTTCAGACTGCTACAGCTTGTCATTATGTAGACATTCCTTGGTCATCTGGATTTGTGCGTCAGTTTTTGATTGATTATTCACTTCATTTATGTGTAGAGCGGGAATACTGCTCGTGCACATAGTGTCAGATATCTGGTTGACTGAATGTTCGATGCCGTCTTCAAACAGATTTTCGAATGCTTCTCATTCACTGGTAGGAGCGATAAAGGATCGGTGATGTTCGTCTTCCCTGGTTTGTAAATTATATTGAAATCGTAAACTTGTATTCGCAGAATCCAACGTTCGACTTGTGCGCATAGGGTGCTTCTCGGGGAAAACAAATTCTAAGCGTTCATTGATCAGTTATCAAGTCAAAAGTTTTTCCAAATGAATATTTGTGGAAAGGCTCGACTGCCCAAACCAGTATCATGGCTTTCTTTCCAGTTATGTGGTATTTTCAAAAAGGCTGCGGTAACCGTACGCAATAACTCTGGGCCCCTCTTTCTACTTCTGGCATAATATGGCCCTGAGTACTACGGGAATAGCGTCAGCAATAAGGGATCTCGAATCATATATAGAGTTGAAACTCAGAACTGAGTCGTCAGTCAAGAATTCTTTTAGTATCCTTAAAAGCAGACACTTTGGGTTTTTTCCAGGTAAACTTGTTATTTTTGATGACTTGTCCAAGTCGATATGTTTTGGTGGCAACATAGAGAATAAATCTTGAAACATAATTTATAAGATAAGGCTTAAGAAACTGCGACTTTCTTCTACAAATTAATGTTGGCTGCCTGAACTGTTGAACCGCATCGATTTTAGATAAAGTTGGCTTACTCCATTTTTTGATATCCTGTGGCCTAAAAATTCAATTTCTAGCATTTTTATTTTGCATTTATTCTCATCTAAGACGACGTTGTAATCTGATAATTTGTTTTCGAAGATGGGGTTCGCCTAAGTGGTTGCAGCGCGCATTTTATGAAAATGATATCGAAGGACTTATCGCGAAAGGAAAAAATTTTTTTTTTTTTCAAGATCTCGTAGTGCTAGCAATTATGATTACCGAAATTAAAATATTTTCAGAGTGGTTTCGCGACTTCGCAATCATTTTGAATTTTAAATATGGAGATAGGCAGTATATTGATGCCTTCAACAATTTATAATCATTGAAAGGAAACAAAAAAAAAATTATATATAAATGGAAATGATCGAAATTTACTGTTTTTTATTGATGATGAAGAAGGGGGAAGCCCACATCGGCTCAATTTAGATCCAATCCATACTATCAGCACTACATAAAAATATTTATAAGGCTCACGTTTTCTGAAAATGGGCCTGAAAATAAATATTATAATCCAAGCTTTTTCAATACATTTATATCAAAATGCATAGGATATTGTCCGCTTTGGACAGGCTAGATGCATTGCAATGGCGAAGGTAGCAGGTATTCAAATTGTTATGTCGAAAACTATTTTGGATATTTGAAAAACATCATTTTGAAAGGAGAGGGTAAGAGCATCAAGATTTCTAAGAAAGTCTAGTGAATATGTTTTAGCTAAATTCAAGGAGTTAAATATGAAAATTCCGACAACTAAGTTGACCAAAGCTGTTTGCAAAAACTCAACAAGTGAAATTATTCGCAAGAAATATGGCAAAAACGAAAACGTAATTATTCTACCCATTTTCTTGGCAGTTACCTTGAACAAGACAACTTGCGATAATGAGTTTCAACAAATACAATCTACATCTTGTGGCATACATCAATTGAACGAGTCAATTAACTGGACAAAATGTGAAATTTGTAACGAGTGGAGACATCAGCTTTGTGATCAATCTGCAATGGAGTACAAAGATGAATTAATTTGTGAAAAGTGTTCTAAGTCTGAACAATATAATCTATATATCTATAAGTGCTCCTTGCAGTATTCTTAGTACTATAGAAGACTATACTTTTGCAGAAAAATTTCTCTTGTGGAGCATGTCGCTTAGACATGGGTTCAATTTGATTCCTGCAAGAATTGGATACATCAAAATTGTCATGACTCTACAGGTAAACAATCATATTTTGAAGATTTTATCTGCAAGAAGTGTTTGGCGGACTCAGGAACTGTTAACGATATATTAAAAAAAAATCGACCGAAGGCATCAGAACATTATACGAGAATTATTTACAATCTTTAGAGATGACTGAAAGTGAAAGGTTAAATTTGAAATTAAAATCTCGTAATCAACGCACCTTCTACATTTGGAAAACTGAATCAGTGAAACGAATAACGGCTTCGTATTTTGGTAAAATTTGGAAGGCCCAAAATGAGAAAACTAAAATAAGTTTAGCAAAGAAAATGCAAAGTTTCAAATCTCTAGACCATATTGCAGCTGTGCGATATGGTATAAGAAATGAGGAAAAAGCTATAAAAAGATATCTAGAACTGACAGGTCATCTCTACACAAAAGCCGGAATTTTTATTCACAAAGAATATCTATTTATTGCCGGTTCCACAGATGGACTTATTAACAATGACCTGAGCCTAATTATTGAAGTGAAATGTCCCTTTCCTGGAAAGGTTATTGAAATTCACTTAGAATATTTGGACCAAACAGGAAATTTGAAAAAGACCCATCCTTACTAATTCCAAATTCAAGAGTTTTTAGAAATTACAAATAGAGCAAATTGCGATTTTGTCATTTATACCAAGAAATGTATTAAAATAGAAAAAAAAGGAACAATTCGGGAACGGGATTTTCTAAAAGTTGAGAGATTTTTTCTACTTTTACCATTTACCCAATATGATTAATCTAGATTCTATGAATATTCCTTTTGGAGAAAGGAAATGGACTACGTCTAAAAAAGTTTTTTTTTATCCAATGGTTTAGTGGATGATATAAACTTTTACAAGAGGACCGAAAGTAGAAGGGGTTATACCATAACAATTTTCGAACAATTGAATTTTAATATTAGAGAGATTTTACTTTCAGACTACGAATCCCTTAATGACAAAACTTGCTTAACAGGTACAACCCTCAATATTGCTATGGGTATACTAAATCCAACAAAAAATATCACTTGATTGAGGAGGATTTCGGTACAAAAATATTTAAAGGCGTCAAATTTAGCACTCATTTTTTAAAGAAAATAAAAATAATCACCGATAAACCAATTGCAATTCGTATTTTAATTAATAGGAACCACTTTTGTCTCATTATAATAAATTTTCAACTTAATACATTTACATACATAAATCAATATGGGCGTCTCCAAAAAATGTCCCAATATGTACTAGGATATGCGATATATCCGAATCAATCAAATGCTCCTTTTGTAACAGACCGATTCATGAAATATGTGCTACATTTAATTAGGGAGACGACCGCATTTTTCCTACCCCGATCGAGTTATGTGTCGACACTATTATCAATATATAGTATTATGTGCATCTATTAACCTGTATTCCTGCCTGAGAGCAAATGCTGCCGGAAATATCTTTTAACAAATTATTAACAAATTGAAAAAAAACGTAACACTACTCCCATCGAGTTATGCCCTAAGAAGGGTATCAGATTGAAGGCCTCGATGTCCCCTATCTAAAAAGTCGATCCTGCCTCGTGAGAACTTGCCGGAAAAGGGTGACAGGACAGCTTATTGGGGCAAGGGCCCGCGGACTCTGCTTTGACACCTATCAAGATTTGCACTAAATGATGTGTCAAATTAAAGGTGTCAATAAGTTGATTTAAGGTCTCTTCGCACAGAAATCTCAAACCAGAAGGAGTGAATTTCATTGTTTGAAACTAGTTTCCTGGCTGTTTCCAACCAATGAAATTCGCTCTGACTGGTTTGTGATTTCTGTGCGAACAGACCTTAAATCAACTTAGTGACACCTTTAATTTGACAGATCATTTAGTGCAAAGCTTGATGGGTGTCAAAGCAGAGACCGCGAGCCCTTGCCCCAATGAGCTGTCCTGCCACCCTTTTCCGGCAAGTTCTCACAAGGCAGGATCGACTTTTTAGATAGGGAACATCGAGACCTTCAATCTGATACCCTTCTTAGGGCATAACTCGATGGGGGTAGTGTTACGTTTTTTTCAATTTGTTAATAATTTGTTAAAAGATATTTCCGGCAGCATTTGCTCTCAGGCAGGAATACAGGTTAATAGATGCACATAATACTATATATTAATAGTGTCGACCCATAACTCGATCGGGGTAGGAAAAATGCGGTCGTCTCCCAGACTAATTAGGAAATGAAAAATTTATTAAAAACAATATCTGCGAAATTTGTCGCGCATATCGAAGATAACCTATTAAGTAGGCCTGAATGTCTGTACATATTTTGGATGTAAGGGGGCGTTATCCTTTGAAAAATCACAAGATGCCATATTTCCTATAGGAAACATACACGATACTAACAACTTTTATTTTATTTATCTAATAATAGGTATTCTATCAAATATTTCTTAATAACTTATTATTTATAACGATCAAGCTTTCGAAACAATTTCTTTCCAATTGAGAGCCCTAATATATACATTAAAATTGATAACAAAAAAATTACATTTACTTCACTTATCTACCCTTCAGCCTGTATATGTATAAGGGAAACATATCGAAAAAAACTAGGTACAATAATGATCAAAGAAATACTGCATAAAGTAATTGAATTTCATTACCGTTTTTACTGTCTAAGGTATTTTTTAGTTTTTGCTGCTTTTATGGTTTTGATGTAGGTACCTATAGAGTCTAATCGGTTTGAAGCTTCTTTTCGTTTCTGCATTTCTTAAGGATGCTTTTCAATTATTGTAAGTTAACCAGTGATAAAAATAGTTCTACTAGTAAGAGGTATACTGAAGTGACGTGAAAGAATAGTTTGGCAAGTCTGTGAGTATGGATAATACGTCTGGCAAGTGAAAAATTGAATAACCGAACAGACAGACTCACTTCGCGCTATCTGAGATAAGCCAGACTGCTACTCTTATATACTATAGTCTATTTTAGTAAATATGAAACATTCATGACTGGGGAAAATAAGTGTACTTTTAGACAGACTCAAAAATTCTTGTTTTGTGTCACCAAGAGAACAAACTATTCAATATACACTAACTAGAAAAATAAGTACCAGAAAATTTCACTGCCTTCTGGACTATTACATATATGTATACTTTTGTTATGGGATTTCTCAACATCAAAGGGGTTACTATGTTGAAAAAGGAACTTATATCTGGTATCCCTTATTTTCAAGTTTTAGGTTTTAATTAAAAAGACAGTAGTGTCAATGGATGTGCATGAGTACCTACTAAGATCAAATGTAACAATAAACTTTTTCTTTTATTATTTTTTTGTTCCTTTCCGCCGTACAAACCTATTTATTTTACCTCACATGTCAACCAGAATCAAAAATTTGTGGTCAAGTTCTAAGACAGCTATATTATTTTAGAAAAATTAAATTTGAATAGCAGCCTTGTACGCCACTTTATATCTCTATAAGCTAGCCCTGCTAAGCTTTTAAAAAAAAATTAGAAACAGCAAAAAAAGTACCTCTAATAAGCAAACTAAATTTTAATAGATTACACCCCTAAGCCAGCCCTGTACGGCCTTGCAAGGAAATTGGAGAACAGTAAAATATTCAGGGGTCGTATTTTCGAAACCATTCGAATGCCGTTCGTATACGAAATAGGGCAAAATTCGCATGAAAATTGAGGTTCAGGGGTCGTATTTTCGATTTCATCCGATTAAATTTCGTACACGAAATTCGATTCACAGCAATGTAAATTGAATGGGAACCATTCGAAATCGAATCTAAATTCGTATGCGAGAATATTCGAAAATATGACCCCTGCTGAACGCAGCTGAACTGAGGTCATTGCTTCGAAAATACCGAAATATAAGATATAGGTATATACAGTGTGTCCGAAATTCGAGTCTCTACATGGGGATTTCGCTTCATTTTCAACAAAATAATATTCTGCGAAAAAAATCCTTTAAAATGATGTAAGTAGTATAAGACGCGGGATACTAGGACACCTACCTCCTTGTCAACTACCCCTAACCCCAAGGGGCACTACCTACTACCCTAACCCCAAGGGGCACTACCTACCACCCTCACCAATCCTCCCCTCACCTTATTTTAAATGCTTATTATTTTACCTTCCATTTTTTTTTTTTCACCTATCAGTATCACCTGAAACTTGTCACATCACTCACCTGTGTGATGAATTAAAATGGAATAAAATGAAAAAAAGTCTTGTGTCTGTGTGTGGAATCGAACCGTTGACCAGTCGCACCAAGAGCGCTAACCACGAGACCACAATAGAACTTGTTTGTAAGTATCAAAATGTTTGGTATGATGATCACAGACTTGTAAAATTTGAAAGAAAAAAAAGTCTTGTGTCTGTGTGTGGAATCGAACCGTTGACCAGTCGGACCACTGGCTCAAGAACCAAGAGCGTTAACCACCAGACCACGGATAGATCTTGTTTGTAAGTATCAAAATGTTTGGTACTATGATCAGACTTGTAAAATTTGAAATGAAAAAATTACTTTAAATTGAATAGGTACCTATTAGGCTGGCCTAACCTAATCTAATGTTGTGCACATTGGTCTCGTTGAATTTTGTTTAAACTCTTATAGCCTAGCCTCGCCTAGCCTAGCCCAGTTTAGAGGGAATCAGTAAAAAACAAACAAAAAAATAGGTGTAAGAGTTTTATTAAAAAGAAAATTTGCGTTTACATTAAAAAATCAAAAGTCTTCCATGTTGTTTGTGGTTGCAGTTCAATGTAGACGATAATTTAACCAATCCTCACTTTTGCACCCTTTAAAGGTTTTGTCATCTTTTTTCCTCTACTTGCGTTTCTGCAGATATCACAAGTATATGAAGCAATGCTTTTCCTCACATTATTATGTCTAATAAAATCTACCACAGAACAAGTTTTAGAATTCACTGGAGTTAATTCATAGCAATAATGCATTTTTATGTAGGTAGGTAGGTAGGTACTGGTCAATGCGGTAGTTTGAATATCACTGAGATTAATGTTAAAAGTGGTTGATTTATATACTATTGAAAATTTTGTATATAGGTAGATAGGAACATAGGTGACAGTAAAACACAAAGTGTACGAATTGATAATCGATTTATTAGACATATAACTAGAAAAATTTGGTTTATTTATAGATTTTCAAAAAAGTAGGTCTGTATCTTTTTTCCTCCTATATATTTTGAATATTCAATATCCCAGCTGCAAGGAATACAAGGTTGATGGGGTATATCAGTTTCACCCTTACATCTGGGGCATGTGTATTTGATGGGTATTGGCATTGTGAACAGTACGATCTCTATCCACGTAATGTTTCATTTCAAAAAGAAACTCTGCTGTTATACACTTTTGGTGTTTGATAGTTTCGTACCATTTTACTAATGTGGCATGTTTTCGAATAAATTTCTGGGATAAAACTTGGTATTTGGATATGAAAGGCCAATGGACCGCCGTTTTAAATTCTTCAATAAAGGACTCACTCAACTGTTGGTACCTTGATATTTTTTTTTTTTTTTTTTTACGGATATGCGCACTCGCAAGGAAATATCCTATCACGCTCGAGAAGCGGCAAGTGCGCGGAAATGTCGGTGTATGTTGGTCTTGA